GCAATATTTGGTAATTGAGGCCAACTTCGAGCCATTCATCATAAACTCAAAGTCTTGACGCGTGTATTGACAGTCAATGCGCGAAATGTTTGCACACTTTCTGAGTATCCATTCAATGACTTGTCGTTTATATTCACACCAAATGAGTCCAAACTTCGGTATTTAAATGATAGCTCTGTCTGTGTCTCGTATATCAATCGCTGCCACTGTTTGGACACACATTCATATCGGAACCGGTCTTCGAGTGGCAGATATGAGAGCAACAGTCTACACAAATCGTCACCGAATCGATCCAAAGAGTCTTTGCCTCTCACTTGCGGTCTAATCGTATGATTACTTCTTGAGCGCATATTCTGTGTCTCATTCCTCGACATAATCTGCGGATCAATTGGTAATCAAATCAATGAATGAGTCACTCATTCAAACCAATCACACAATGGCCTTACTATCGGTGTTGTAATCAATACTACTGGTGCTGTCGATACCACGGGATGTCCACCAATTGAATCCCAAATATATTCTTTGCGATCAAAACAAACGTTTCATTCATTCAAACGAAAGTCAAATGAAGACACATTTGGCATGACTTACGGGAATGGTATGCAATCAATACTACCGATGCTGTCGATGCTATCAAACGGGTTGCACATTAAGACTCATTTGATGGCAAAGTATTGTCTCATAAGAGGCGAGGAATGGCCTCAAGAAGTGGTGACACAAACTCGCGGCATGTCTTCGGCAAAGACTTTGTAAATGAGTTTAAAAAGTGAAATCAAATGTGAATTAAAGGCCGAAATGCTTACCAAATGAAGGGTTGAGTGAAACGCCAGGTAAAACACATCCACGTAATTAACATCAGTAATACTTTGCTCGCTAATTATTTGAAAATGTTTTTGTTGCTTACTATTTTTGTAGTCTAATTACTACAGTATAGTAAAATAATATTTTTATTTTGTAGATTCAGAATAGTCATGATAAATTTTATAAACAATTTTAATATAAATTTATAAAGTTTATAGCACTATATATTTTTCATTTATACTTAATTATAAATAAATTATGCATATTTCATTAATTTACATTAAATTGTTTGCAAAAATAATTTTAAAACTGTTGTGACATAAGTTTATAATGCAATAAATCTATTTATAAATATAATATTCATATCTATAGAAAATATCGTGATATATGGCTATTAATAATAAACAGAATATTCTTATTTAAACAAAAATGAGTATTGTCATTTTATCTGTAATACATTATTTTTAAGATTAAATATTATCCATAAACAAATTAATTTTAAATGTCATATTAAAACATGTCAAGAATATGATTTATTACAATAAATTTAACGATTTTATAAAATAAATATCATAGGCGCACTGATTTCATAAATACCATAAAAACTATACCTTTCCAATAACTTTAGTGATTTATAAAAATAAAACTTTGGTAGCATTTATAAATTGCTTACAATGTATCAATCTCAAAACTATTTATATCNTATACCAGTAATAGTATACTATTACCAAAATAAATATAATTTTAGTTGTATATTTAAATACTTTCTTGATAAGATTATATAACAATTGTTTATTATTAATAAATAGAAAATTGTCAAAACTTAACACGAATAAAATAGTTGAAAATGGATACATGATAACTGTATTTTTAATTTTGCATACAATTAAAATTTTAGCATTAACTTATATTTAAGTTATTAACTTAAAACTTTCAGTATTATATTTACTTTAATATGATTAAAATTGTATTTATTGTTATACACAGTATTTCATTACTAGAGTTTATGTGACATTTTTATATTTTATATTAGTTATAAAATTTTATTCATGTATTGTTGAAATATATTGAATTCTATTTAATGATTATAATTACGACAAACCAAAATGAAAACAAAATAATTAAGACTTTAATAACTGAATTAACATAACATTGAATGTTATGACAGACCCTATGAATACAAATAAAAATTTCAAATCAATTGAAAACACATTGTATGTCATGTAATTACTTCGTGAATATAAATTTATTGTATTTTTAATTAACGCATTAATTATTAATTTTTTTGAATCAATTAAATGATCAGATTTGTCAAAACATGAAAGCAATTGATTGACAGTCGGTCTATGGGTTTGAAAATAATTTATAACAAATACAAACATAATGTTGACAACAAATATACAAATATATTCAATGAAACCATGCGATCGATTTGCATAAAATGTTTCATTATTTTGTTTATTAACTGCGAAATGAGTTAATCGTAAACATGTTGATGAAAATAAATCGCAAAACCATAGAACGGGAAATATACCTAGATACTTATTAATGGACTCCTTATAGCTTGTAATGAGTAATAGATTTTGTTTTAATAATTCATAATTAATATGATTTTTGTTAATCAATAGTCTCTTTTCGATGAGATATACGGCATAACATAAATTAATGATCAGAAGGGGCACGGCTATAGCAAAACCATAAATTTCAATAATCCAGATGATTTCAAAAACTAATATTAAATGTCTTACACGATAAAATATATAATAAACAATCAGGGCTATAAATGCAATCATAATTAATATAATCCACAATAAACTCATTACTTTTGAGCAAAATTTCAAACAATGTTTATCTCTATTGGATAAACTGTTAATTAATGTAACAGTAAGTTTTTTAATTGTGCTTGATTGTATCTCAAAATAAATAAAACTGAACACAAATATAGACATTCTTAAGATGACTGATAATCGCCACAAGATTTCAATAAACTTTTTATAATTAATTAAATCTTGTATTGAATGCCAATAATTCCATAATAATGTTATAATTATTAATGATTTAATAGTATATTTAATTACTAATAATGTTTTACTTTTACTAAAGAAAAATATGTCGTAACTTAAAATAAAATATGTAATAGAAATTGGATATAAATAGTTTTGAGATTGATACATTGTAAGCAATTTATAAATGCTACCAAAGTTTTATTTTTATAAATCACTAAAGTTATTGGAAAGGTATAGTTTTTATGGTATTTATGAAATCAGTGCGCCTATGATATTTATTTTATAAAATCGTTAAATTTATTGTAATAAATCATATTCTTGACATGTTTTAATATGACATTTAAAATTAATTTGTTTATGGATAATATTTAATCTTAAAAATAATGTATTACAGATAAAATGACAATACTCATTTTTGTTTAAATAAGAATATTCTGTTTATTATTAATAGCCATATATCACGATATTTTCTATAGATATGAATATTATATTTATAAATAGATTTATTGCATTATAAACTTATGTCACAACAGTTTTAAAATTATTTTTGCAAACAATTTAATGTAAATTAATGAAATATGCATAATTTATTTATAATTAAGTATAAATGAAAAATATATAGTGCTATAAACTTTATAAATTTATATTAAAATTGTTTATAAAATTTATCATGACTATTCTGAATCTACAAAATAAAAATATTATTTTACTATACTGTAGTAATTAGACTACAAAAATAGTAAGCAACAAAAACATTTTCAAATAATTAGCGAGCAAAGTATTACTGATGTTAATTACGTGGATGTGTTTTACCTGGCGTTTCACTCAACCCTTCATTTGGTAAGCATTTCGGCCTTTAATTCACATTTGATTTCACTTTTTAAACTCATTTACAAAGTCTTTGCCGAAGACATGCCGCGAGTTTGTGTCACCACTTCTTGAGGCCATTCCTCGCCTCTTATGAGACAATACTTTGCCATCAAATGAGTCTTAATGTGCAACCCGTTTGATAGCATCGACAGCACCGGTAGTATTGATTGCATACCATTCCCGTAAGTCATGCCAAATGTGTCTTGATTTGACTTTCGTTTGAATGAATGAAACGTTTGTTTTGATCGCAAAGAATATATTTGGGATTCAATTGGTGGACATCCCGTGGTATCGACAGCACCGGTAGTATTGATTACAACACCGATAGTAAGGCCATTGTGTGATTGGTTTGAATGAGTGACTCATTCATTGATTTGATTACCAATTGATCCGCAGATTATGTCGAGGAATGAGACACAGAATATGCGCTCAAGAAGTAATCATACGATTAGACCGCAAGTGAGAGGCAAAGACTCTTTGGATCGATTCGGTGACGATTTGTGTAGACTGTTGCTCTCATATCTGCCACTCGAAGACCGGTTCCGATATGAATGTGTGTCCAAACAGTGGCAGCGATTGATATACGAGACACAGACAGAGCTATCATTTAAATACCGAAGTTTGGACTCATTTGGTGTGAATATAAACGACAAGTCATTGAATGGATACTCAGAAAGTGTGCAAACATTTCGCGCATTGACTGTCAATACACGCGTCAAGACTTTGAGTTTATGATGAATGGCTCGAAGTTGGCCTCAATTACCAAATATTGCGATCATTTCAATGCGTTTGTCGTCGACTTTCAAACCGTTATTCAACGCAAAACAATGGATGAGTTTATGGCGAAGTTTGCCAAACAGTTGCTGACATTGCGAGTGATTAGCGGCGCCTACATTGCGTCCGTTCGGACGTCCATCGCAGCGAATGTCAAGTATTGCACGAATTTGCGTGAAGTCGGCGGCACTCGGAATGCATTGCATCTGTTGAGTGACACTTGACAGCCATTTGTAGTGCGAAAACTTTGCAAATTTACGTTCACTTTCGGTACACAAACCATCGGTCGCTTCGAGACATTTGTCACAAATTATGGCCAAAGAGTGAATGCATTCCCCGTGGAAACGCTCACCGATTGCAATGAGAAGTCTATGGATATACTGGTGACTGGTTTGTCACGAATGCGACAATTAATCGATTTGGAGATCTATTCTTCGGATCAAAGAGTGAGTGATTTGATTGCGAGTCGATTGAAGGGAATCGGTGTGAAGTGTCGTTCACTCAAGAGATTGTCCCTGAAGTTAGTTATCGATTCAAATGCATATTATCGGCAATTATTTCAAACAATTAGCCAACACTTTAAGAAATTGAAACGTTTGGAAATCACTGGCGAGTCGTCTGTAATAATGAGTGAATCAATGAATGTTATGAATAGATTAACACATCTGACACTTAACCATATAAATAACGATAGTATCGATAACACGGATTATATTAATCATGAATTCTTTGAGAATATGGATCAGAATATTCCTAACGTCCAGTACATAGACATCAGAAAAGTTAAAGTCTCGTCAAATGTGTTGAACTGTTTGGCAAAACTCACGAGAATTCATGGCATTAGACTCACTGGTGATGAGGAATACACGCAAATAGATGTCCAGAATGTGGTGGAAAAGTGTCACAAAATTAGTTGCATTGAAATTAATCGTATAAATGCTTTGAACATATTTAGCTATAATTAGATTCATTACTTAATTGTTTTTCCTGTAATACTCTATAATTTTTCTTAAACACTGTATGACTGATCCAATTGTATCCATAATTAGATCATTAATTATAAACTTTAAAATTATAAAATTAGTGAAATGTTTCAATAAATGTTTTGTTGTTTAAACTAAGCAAACACCAGTAACATATCTATAAAATTAATTGAAATCGAAATGACATTTATTCAAAATGATAAATATAATACCTTT